AAAAAGAGAGAGAGAGTTCCAGACCAGCCTGACCAAGATGGAAAAACCCTGTCTCCAACAAAAATTCAAAAAAATTAGCCGGGCATGATGGCATATGCCTGTAATCCCAGCTCCTTGGAGGCTGAGGCAGGAGAATCGCTTGAACCTTGAGATGGAGGTTGCAGTGAGCCAAGATCGTGCCATTGCACTCCAGCCTGGGCAACAAGAGTGAAACTCTGTCCTTAAAAAAAAAAATTAGTTGGGTATGGTGGCCCATGCCTGTTGTCCCAGCTACCTAGGAGGCTGAGGCAGGAGAATCGCTTGAACCTGGGAGGCAGAGGTTGCAGTGACAGGAGATGGCACCACTGCACCATCCAGCCTGAATGACAACACAAGTCTTTGTCTCTGAATAGATTAATAAGTTTTGTTGTAGAGACAAGGTCTCACTACATAGCCCAGTCTCCAACTCCAGGCCTCAAGCAATCATCTGGCCTTGGCCTCCCACAGTGCTGGGATTACAGGCGTGAGCCACTGAGTCTAGGCCATTATTACTATTTCTTTCCTCCTCCCTGGAGTCCCAGACTAGGTCAAGTCTGCATTAGACACTCTCACACTGCATGTCTAGATTCTCTTCTTAGCCCTCCCTATGCCCTGTACATTTACATTCTCCCATGGGATTACTGAGGGCTCAGTTTCCATCTAGGTTGACTGTGGGCCATGTAACGGACGCCTGGCCTGTGTGCTGGCCACAGCATCCCCAGATACAGTGCCTGGCACTTCAGAATTGCTCAACATGTTTTTTTCTTTATGCTGAGAAATGCATCTCTGGGTTTTTTTTTTTTTTCCTTTTTTTTTTAGAGACAGATTCTCTCCTTGTCACCCAGGCTGGAGTGCAGTGGCACAATCACAGCTCAGTGCAACTGTGAACTCCTCGGCTCAAGAAATCCTCCCACCTCAACCTCCTGAGTAGCTGGGACTACAGCCTTGTGTCACCATGTCCAGCTAATTTTTTGTAGAGACAGGGTCTCGTTGTGTTACCCAGTCTGGTTTTAAACTCCTGGACTCACATGATCTCCTGCCTCAGCCTCCCAAAGTGTGGGGATTACAGGCCTCAGCCACTGTGGCCGGCTGAGAAATGTACGTCAGTATTATGGAGCAAGAGGACAGAGTCATGGTGGTTCTGGGAACAAATACAAAGATTTTAAAATAGACCAGTTTTGAAATAGACATCACAGAGGAGACAGGGAAGTGGCTCCACTCCTCCTTCCTATTGCAGGTGCCTGATGCGAGAGAGCTCAGCGAAGGATGAACCTGGATGTGTTACAAGCTGCTGCCTTAGCCTCCTCTAGCTGCTGCAGGGTATCTGGGACTAAAGGGAGCTCTGTGGATCTTTCTGAGCCTGGATCTTTCTGGGACTGTTCCGGGGGCATGGGGTTAGGTCAGCCTGTTTCATTTCTCCACGGATGAAGAGAACTTGCCAGGGCCTGGGCAACCCTCTGTGATCCAGCCCTGCCCATCTTGCAGTAGTTACTGAGTGCTTTTCTTTTCTTTTCCTCTCTCTCCTCTCTCTCTCTCTTTTTTTGGACAGACTCTCACTCCATTGCCCAGGCTGCAGTGTAGTGGCGCGATCTCGGCTCATGGTAACTTCCACCTTCTGGGTTCAAGCAATTCTCTGCCTCAGCCTCCTGAGTAGCTGGGATTACAGGTGCCCGCCACCAGGCCCAGCTAATTTTTGTATTTTTAGTAGGAACGGGGTTTCACTATCTTGGCCAGGCTGGTCTTGAGCTCTTGACCTCGTGATCCACCCACCTCAGCCTCCCAAAGTGCTGGAATTACAGGCATGAGCCTCCACACCCAGGCTACTTTGTGCTTTTCTCCTACTTTTTCATGCTCCAGCCTCAATGGCCTTCTGTTCCCAACATACCATGCTCACAGCCTTGCACTTGCTGTTCCTTCTGCCTAGAAGGCGTTTCCCTCAACTCTTCACAAGTGTGACTCCTCATCGTTTAGGTCCCAGCTCAACTGAGACCCTAGAAAGGCCTTCCCTGAAGTCCCCACCCTCAACTTGCCGTCATTGCAGAAAGTTCTGTTGGGCACCACTGCTCTCGACCACAGATGCACATTACACTTTCTGTCCTTTACTCATATCATTTGCTCTGCCTGGAATGCTTTACCTGACCCTTAATAGAAATCTAACCCATGTGCCATCTGGCAATATGTTAAAATAAAAGTCTTAAAATTAGTTCCGCGGGCTGGGCACAGTGGCTCACGCCTGTAATCCCAGCCCTTTGGGCGGCTGAGGTGAGCAGATCATCTGAGGTCGGGAGTTCGAGATCAGCCTGACCAACATGAAGAAACCCCATCTCTACTAAAAACACAAAATTAGACAGGCATGGTGGCACATGCCTGTAATCCCTTCTGGCTACCCGGGAAGCTGAAGCAGGAGAATTGCTTGAATCCAGGAGGCGGAGGTTGTGGTGAGCCGAGATTGTGCCATTGCACTCCAGCCTGGGCAACAAGAGCGAAAACTCTGTCTCTAAATAAACAAACAAATAAATAAATAAGGCCAGACGTTGTGGCTCACCCCTGTAATCCCAGCACTTTGGGAGGCTAAGGTAGGCGGACCTCCTGAAGTCAAGAGTTCGAGACCAGCCTTGCCAGCATGGTAAAACCTAGTCTCTACGAAAAATACAAAAGTTAGCTGGGCGTGTGGCAGGCATCTGTAATCCCAGCTACTCGGGAAGCTGAGGTAGGAGAATCTCTTGAACCTGGGAGGTGGAGGTTGCAGTGAGCTGAGATTGCACCATTGCACTCCAGCTTGGGCAACAGAGCAAGACTCTGTCTCAAAATAAATAAAAATAAAATTAGTTCGGCAATTCCACTTTTCAGAATGTATCCTTAAGGAAATGGTTGTTGATATATGCAAAGATTTGACTACAAGGATGCTCAGTGCAGCACTGTTTATGATAGCAAAAATAGAAGTGTGTGCAGTGGCTCATGCCTGTAACCTCAGCACTTTGGGAGGCTGAGGGAGGTAGATTGCCTGAGCCCAGGAGTTCAAGAGCAGCCTGGGCAACACAGGGAGACCAGTCCCTGAAAAAAAGAAAAGGGAAAAAAAAAAATAAACTGAGGCTGGATGCAGTGGCTCATGCCTGTAATCCAGAACTTTGGAGGACCAAGGCAGAAGGGTCAGTTGAGGCCAAGAGTTTGAGGCTAGCCTGGGCAATATAGTGAGATTCCTCTCTTAAAAAAAGAAAAAAAAAATCAGCCCAGTGTGGTGGTGCATGCCTGCAGTCCCAGCCACTCAGAAGGCTGAGGTGGAAGGATCACCTGCGCTCAGGAAGTCAAGGCTGCAGTGACCACAGATTGCGCCACTGCATTCAGTCTGGGTGACAGAGCAAGACCCAGCCGAAAATAAATAAATAAATAAATAAATAAATAAATTCCCCTGAAGTTATAAAGACCAGATCAAAAATCTAGAAAAGGGCTTGACAGGGTGAACACTCAATAAACACCAGCTGCTTTTATGCATGGGAGAGTAGAGAGGATGTGAGCAGCTGCTGCTTCCAGGTAGACAGATTAAGAGGATTTCATTTTCTTCTTTTGATTTATCTCCTTCTCCTAAGTTTTACCTTATGAACATGTGTTTCTTGCTGGGCGCAGTGGCTCACGCCTGTAATCCCAGCACTTTGAGAGGCCAAGGCAGGCAGATCATGAGGTCAGGAGTTCGAGACCAGCCTGACCAATATGCTGAAACCCTGTCTCTTCTAAAAATACAAAAAAAATTAGCTGGGTGTGGTGGGGGGCGCCTGTAATCCCAATCAGGAGGCTGAGGTAGGAGAATTGCTTGAACCCAGGAAGCGAAGGTTTCGGTAAGCCGAGATCCACGCCATTGCACTCCAGCCTGATTAACAAGAGTGAAACTCTCTATGTCAAAAAAAAAAAAAAAGAACATGTTTCTTTTGAAATAAGGGAGAGGAACAATAGTCCTCCACGAAGCCTTTTTTCCCGTGAATCTTGGGTCCTCCCCCACCCCAGATCCCACCCAGCAGTGTAAGTATCTGGTCGTACTGTCCACTAGAGAGCCAAAGCGTCTCTGGAGTCTGCAGCAGCAGGTCTGATGAACGAACAAGGGAGGGAAAGAGCCTGCACCCACCCCCTCCCTGGGAGTTTGCCTAATGTTTGCTACTGAGCATCCGGACAGAAGCCACTGGCCAGCACGGACGTTCCACGAGGAGTCCAGAGGATGTGACGATCATCTCCCCATTCTTTTTACTCTCGGACCCCCGCCTCCTGAGTTTGACGGTTCCTGTGTGTCAGTGAGAACTGGGAGGAGCTGGAGCGTGAGTGCTGCCTGTGTTTGCGAGATATCAGGGGTTTTGAGCTAAGCCAGCGGTGCTCCCATCGGCCCTTCTCCCTCCCCCACCCTCTGCCGCGTGTTTTTAATTTGGGCAATGGGTTGGGCAATTATGCATTGCGGCGTCTGTAAGATCTGAGTGCCAAGGTACTCAGGGTATTTCTCTTTTTTTGAGACGGAGTCTTGCTCTGCGCCCAGGCTGGAGTGTAATGGCACGATCTTGCCCCACTGCAACCACAGCCTCCCAGGTTCAAGCAATTCTCATGCCTCAGCCTCCCGAGCAGCTGGGATGACAGGTGTGCACCACCACGTCCGACTAATTTTTGTATTTTTAGTAGAGACGGGGTTTCACCATGTTGGCCAGGCTGGTCTCGAACACCCGACCTCAGGTGATCCACCTGCCTCGGCCTCCCAACGTGCTGGGATTACAGGCGCAAGCCACCGCCCTGGCCTTGTGGTCTTTCAACTCCAACGTTCAGGTTATAATTCTGCCTCCCCACTTGCCATCTCCCAAAGTTAAACTTTCTGAGCCTCTATACGTTTTTATCTGTAGAATGGGGATAATGATGAAAACATGTAGGAGGAAAAGCTGAAATCCACTCGAGGTACAGACGGTAACGGTTCCTATTTCTAGCCAGAGACACACGACGCTAGCCAGGGAAGCTGTAGGCAGGCGCTGCGGAACCGCGGAGGGCCCCGTTTATTACCCCAAAACCGCAGCCCGGAAAGCGCCCCCCGCCAGCGTCCCGCCCGCGTCCCAGCCCGACGCCTGGCTTCCTGCCCGGGCCCGTCCCGGGTCCCGCCTAGCCCGCCCCGGAGCCGGCGTCTCCCTCGGGCTCCAGGGAGCGGAAAGGGCTGGGCCGGTTGGAGGAGCCCAAGCCCGGGGACGACGGGCGGCGCGGGTCGAAGGGGCCGAAGAACTCGGCGGCAAAGGTGACCACGTCCACTGGCTGGCGCAGCAGCAGGAAGAGCAGGAAGTCGGAGATGAGCGCGCGGGCCTCGGGGTGCTGCCGCAGATAGCTGGCATGGCCGAGCCGGAGCTCCTCCTGGCGGGGGACAGAGCCCGAGCCTGAGCTGGGCGGGGACCCCCCCCCCGCGCCCCAGGAGCCCCCACCCACTCGCTCCAAGGAGAGCTAAGGGGCGCTGGAGCCTTCCAGACCCTACGGGTGTGCATTTCAATCAGGTGCAGAGAGATCAATAACGAATTTTTTTTTCTTTTTTCTTTTTTTAAGACGGGGCTTCACCATGTTGGTCAGGCTGGTCTTGAACTCCCGACCTCAGGTGATCCGCCCGCCTTGGCCTCCAAAGTGCTTGGATTACAGGCCTGAGCCATCACGCCCCGCCCATCAATAATGAATTGAAGGCCCAGTGGGGAATGGGGACCCCAGGCTGGTGTAGCCTCTTCTCACCTTCCGTTCCAGGAACTTCCTATAGAGCTCCATATCCTCCTCCCACACTAGAGGCTTCTTCTCAAACACGGGGCGTGGCTCAATCTCATCTGGGTGGGGAACATGGAAGGCTGGGCGTCCCCACCCCAGAACCTTCCCTGGATACCCAGAGGGATCCCGAGAACACCCAAACAGAAGGCTCAGGTGGAGCCCCAGGAGTCGGCTGTGTGGACAGAGTGGCAGGAAGGGGCTCCCAGCAAGAAAGATCCTCCTCTTAGTGCTTGGGGTCAGGGGCTGAAAGGCAGGTGTTCTCCAGCTGCTTCCAGGCTCCTGTCCCGTTCACAGCACACTGGGTCTAGTCCCTGCATCCTGGAAGGCCCAGGTTTCCCCGCTCCCCTTCACTCTCCTGCGCTGTCCAAGGCCTGGACTTCACTCACCCACTTCCCTCAAGATGGGCATCTTGGTGATGATGCAGCACCCTGGGGAGCCCACCTGTATTCTCTTGGCCAGGTGCCTGGAGTGCAACACAGAACATGTGAGAGGGAGTGTCTTCCCAGCCCATCCACTATGGACTGTATTCTCCATCTAATCCCCAGTGTGATGATAGTTGGAGGTAGGGCCTTTGGGGAGGTCATTACCTTTACATGCAGTCATAAGGGTGGGGCCCTAATCAAATGGGATTGGTGTCTTTATAAGGAGGAGATGCCAGAGAGTTCTCTCTCCACTCACGAACAGAAGAAAGGCTATGTGGGGACACACTAAGAAGGCAGCTGTCTGCAGGCTAGAAAGAGAGCCCTCACCAGAAACCAACTCTGACAGCACCATGATCTTGGACTTCCAGCCTCCAGAGCTGTGAGCAAATACATTTCTCTTGAAGCCACTCAGCCTGTGGTATTTTGTTATGGCAGCCTAAGCAGACTCATAAATGACAGTACCACCCCTTTTTCTTTTGAGACGGAGTCTCACTCTGTTGCCCAGGCTGGAGTGCAGTGGCGAGATCTCAGCTCACTGCAACTCCGCCTCCTCAGTTCAAGCAATTCTCTGCCTCAGCCTCCTGATTAGCTGGGATTACACGGCCCGATACTACGCCTGGCTAATTTTTATATTTTTAGTAGACATGGGGTTCCACCATCTTGGCCAGGCTGGTCTTGAACTCCTAAGCTCCTGATCCATCTGCCTCAGGCTCCCAAAGTGCTGGGATTACAGGCGTGAGCCATTGTGCCCAGCTGACAGTGCCTCTTGAGAGACCATCCCAGGCCTTTATTCTGCCTCCTTCTCAGATTTTTTGAATTCCTGGGTGGTGTTCATTTCTGGATGTCCAAATGACACACAGGGCTTGGCAAGTATTAGGCCCCCTGTTTTTTTTTAAAAAAAAGAAAAGGATCTTTAGAGGTCCTAGATCCAGCACTAGAAAATCAAGGACCCTCCTTGGCCAAGTGCAGTGGCTCACGCCTGTAATCCCAACATTTTAGGAGGCTGAGATGGGTGGATCACTTGAGGTCAGGGATTTGAGACCAACCTAGCCAACATGGTGAAACCCCGTCTCTACTAAAAATACAAAAATTAGCCAGACATGGTGGCAGGTGCCTGCCATGTAATCACAGCTATTTTGGTGACTGAAGTATGAGAATCACTTGAACCTGGGATGTGGAGGTTGTAGTGAGCCAAGATTGCATCACTGCACTCCAGTCTGGACAACAGAGCGAGTGTCTCAGAAAGAGAAAGAGGCCTGTCACAGTGGCTCACACCTGTCACAGTGGCTCATGCCTGTAATCCCAGAACTTTGGGAGGCCAAAATGGGCGGGTCACTTGAGGTCAGGTGTTTGAGACCAGCTTGGCCAACACGGTGAAACCCTGTCTGTACTAAAAATACAAAAATTAGGTGTGGTGGCAGGCACCTGTAGTCCAAGCTACTTGGGAGGCTGAAGCAGGAGAATCACTTGAACCCTGGAGGCGGAGGTTGCAGTTAGCCAAGATCATGCCACCGCATTCCAGCCTGAGCAACAGAGCAAGACTCCATCTCAAAAAAGAAAGAAGGAAAGAAGGAAAAAAAGAAAGAAAGAAAGAAAGAAAGGAGGGAGGAAGGAAGGGAAAGAGAAAGAAAGAAAAAGAAAGAAAGAAAAAACAAAGGAAAGATAATGGAACTTGCTGCTATGTGGCACTCAAAATAGAAAGAGTGGCCTGGAGCACACCTATTGTCCCAGCTACTAGGGAGGCCGAAGAAGGAGGATTGCTTAAACCCAGGAGCTGGATGCTGCTGTGGACTATGATCGCACCAAAACTGAAAACAAACTAAGTTATGAGATAAAGCCAACAACGTTTTTATTACTTTTTCCCCAGTGTAGTGATTATGTCAATACCTATTCTGAAATTTTTTTTTTTTTGAGATGGAGTTTCGCTCTTGTTGCCCAGGCTGGAGTGCAATGGCACAATCTCAGCTTACCACAACCTCCATCTCACAGGTTCGAGTGATTCTCCTGCCTCAGCCTTACAAGTAGCTGGGATTACAGGCATGTGCCACCACACCCGGCTAATTTTTTGTATTTTTAGTAGAGCTAGGGTTTCTTCATGTTGGTCAGGCTGGTCTTGAACTCCCAACCTCAGGAGATCCACCCACCTCCACCTCCCAAAGTGCTGGGATTACAGGCATGATCCACTGTGCCCGGCCATATTCTGAAATTTTAAGAAATAAACTCATCCAGACTCTGTCTCAAGACAAACAAACAAAAACAAAAAAACCAACAACTCTCTTTTCTTCCACCTGAATTTTCTTGTGATTTAGAGCCAGTGCTTTGTGGTGACTGCACGGCAGCCTGCCACAGGCAATTCTTCCAGCACAGCGATTTCATCAAGTGTGCAGTCATTCAAACCTTGATGTTTTCAATATTACCTCTTACACAGTGGCAGCTGCACTAGCTATCAGGCCTGTGGTGTTCAGTGAGAAGGTTTGTGAGGCACTGTGAGGGTTAAGAGGACAAGCAAATAAATGAAGAAAGAGTGAATGATATGGATAAAGCGGAAGGACACTCCCATCTCCACGGCAGCTCTTCCTGGTGGTGTCCCCAGAAGCAACCAGTTTCCTTGAGCACCTACAAGCTCAGCACCACCCGTCGCCCCACCATCAGCAGCTCACCCATCAGAGAGCAGGTAGTACTGGCAGGACATGGGAATGCCCTCCTCCGAGTGGACAGTTTGCTCCACGATGAACACTTCGGCCTGCTTTTGGTCCATGTGGATGGTCTGGAAGCCCAGGTCTTGCTGGAAACAGCCAAAATTGGGGGGTGGGAGGTGACGTGGATGCCCGCCAGGGTCTCCCCATCATCTCACCTTAGCCTTTTCTCCATCTCATATCTTCACCACAACATTTGAGGTTGCATCTCTAAACCTCCAAGCTAAGTTGGGGACCCCTCATAGGGAACTAGCTCCAGGTTGCCCCAACCCCCTCCCATGCCATCTCACTGACCAGATGCTTCTAGTTGGCAAATTCTGTTACAGGGATGAGAAGCAGTATGGGGAGGGATGTGGGAGCAGAGAGGGAGGATGAGCTACTAGGGCCAGTGGGTGGAGGTAAAGTGAGGCTCGGAGGCGTGACACCAGACATATTTGTGGCCACCTCAGACCCATGCTGTTGCTGGCAGTCTGTCCTTATTGTAATTAAAACTTAAACCCCTGTTATGGCTGTGGCCATGGAGAGAAAAGTGTTAAACATGTTTCAGGCCGGGCGCGGTGGCTCAGGCCTATAATCCCAGTACTTTGGGAGGCCAAGGAGGGTGGATCACGAGGTCAAGAGATCGAGACCATCCTGGTCAACATGGTGAAACTCCATCTCTACTAAAAATGCAAAAATTAGCTGGGCATGGTGGTACACGCCTGTAGTCCCAGCTACTCGGGAGGCTGAGGCAGGAGAACTGCTTGAACCCAGGAGGCGGAGGTTGCAGTGAGCCGATATTGTGCCATTACACTCCAGCCTGAGTAACAAGAGTGAAACTCCGTCTCAAAAAAAAAAAAAAAAAAAAAACCGAAAAACCCCACATTTTAAAGAACGCAGGGGGAATGGATTGTGCTTGTTCATGTCAAATGCATTGCTGCCTGGTGTGTTTTGATAGACAAGCCTGGAATGTAATTTACAAAGGTGGTCAAAGAAACACAAATCGGCTAGGCACAGTGGCTCATGCTGGTAATCACAGCACTTTGAGAGGCTGAGGCGGGCAGATCACCTGAGGTCGGGAGTTCGAGACCAGCCTGAGCAACATGGAGAAACCCCATCTCTACTAAAAATACAAAAAATTAGCTGGACGTGGTGGTACGTGCCTGTAATCCCAGCTACTCAGGAGGCTGAGGCAGGAGAATCACTTGAACCCAGGAGGCGGAGGTTGTGCTGAGCCAACATCGAACCATTGTACTCCAGCCTGGGCAACAAGAGCGAAACTCTGTCTCAAAAAAATAAAAAAAAAAACAGCCCCCAAAGTATCTCACTGGAAATCATGTGTTCAGTGGCAAGGCTTTAAAATCACCTACTGCAGGAAGTCTTAGGCATGCCAATTTTGAGATTTTAGTTAAAAACAAAAAACAAAAATGGAACACCCTTTGGGGTTGAGAAATAATAAAATAATATTTAAGTACAGTTGGACATATTGCACTTCCTTGAGTTAAAAAATGATTTTTTTTTTGAGTCGGAGTCTCCCTCTGTTGCTCAAGCTGGAGTGCAGTTGTGCGATCTCAGCTCACTGCAACCTCCACCTCCCAGGTTTAAGCAATGATTCTCCCGCCTTAGTCTCCCGAGTAGCTGGAATTACAGGTGCCCGCCACCTCGCCTGGTTAATTTTTTTATTTTTAGTAGAGACCGGGTTTCACCATGTTGGCCAGGCTGGTCTTGCACTCCTAACTTCAAGTGATCTGCCCACCTTGGCCTCCCAAAGTGCTGGGATTACAGGCGTGAACCACCACACCCAGCCAAAAAATGATGTATTTTTAAAATCAGCCCTGCACTATATTTATTTTTTCTGGACTGACTTCTGTGCAAAAGCTTTGCTTCTCTGAATTGTTTCCACCTCTCAGCCCCTCTCACTTCATCTACCCGACACTCACTCCCTGACAAATGTGCTTTCCTGTCCTTGGAAGCCCCATTCCTACTTGTGCTGTTTTTTCCCCACCCACCTCCTCATCTATCTCCACAGCTGTTCCCCATCTCAGTGCTTTTCATGCCTTTTCTAGTTTGCTGCCAAGCCAAGTCCCCTGCCCAGGAAGACCCCTCACATAGGTGGAATAGCAGAGTTTGCCCTCACTGTCCAAGGCCAGGAAGCGGGCGTTGCTGGGCACCATCTGCCGGCAGGCCATCACCCTGAGCAGCACCAGGTTGGCAGCCTCTGACACGAAGCCCTTGATTGAGCTCCAGGGGAAAGAAGTCACTGCAGTCTTCACTTCCTGTTCAGAACAGATCAGGGTCAGGAACCTGGAACAGGAAGGTGCAGGGGACAGCAGGGGGTGGGCAAGCCAGGTGTTGAGCTTTTTTTTTTTTTTTGAGATGGAGTCTCACTCTGTCACCAGGCTGGAGTGCAATGGTGCAGTCTCAGCTCACTGCAACCTCTGCCTCCTGGGTTCAAGCCATTCTCCTGCCTCAGTCTCCTGAGTAGCTGGGACTACAGGAACCCACCACCACGCCTGGCTAATTTTTGTATTTTTAGTAGAGATAAGCTTTTACCATGTTGGCCAGACTGATCTAGAACTCCTGACATTGTGATCCACTGGCCTCTGCCTCCCAAAGTGCTGGGATTACAGGCGTGAGCCACTGCACCCGGACTTTTTTTTTTTTTTTTTTTTGAGACAGAGTTTTGCTCTTTGTCACCCAGACAAAGAGTGTAATAGTGCGGGTTCAGTTCACTGCAACCTCTGCCTCCTGGGTTCAAGGGATCTCCTGTCTCAGCTTCCCAAGTAGTTGGGATTATAGGCCACCATACCTGGCTAATTTTTGTAATTTTAGTAGAGATGAGGTTTTACCATGTTGGCCAGGCTGGTCTCGAACTCCTGACCTGAGGTGTTAGGCCTACCTCGGCCTCCCAAAGTGCTGGGATTACAGGTGTGAGCCACCATGCCCGGGCTTTTTTTTTTTTTTTTTTGAGACAGTCTCTCTCTGTTGCCCAGGCTGGAGTGCAATGGTGTCATCTCAGTTCACTGCAACCTCTGTCTCCTGGGTTCAAGCGAGTCTCCTAAGTGGGTGGGACTACAGGTGCACACCACTACACCTGGCTAATTTTTATGTTTTATTCAGATTTGGGGTTTCACCATGTTGGCCAAGCTGGTCTTGAACTCCTGACCTCAAGTGATCCGCCTGCCTCAGCCTCCCAAAGTGCTGAGATTAGAGACGTGAGTCACCGCACCTGGCCTTCAGCTGGGCATATGGTTTTTAATGATTCCTCAGTCTGGGCCCCTGGCTTGATCTAACCTGGTCCCTGCTCAGGGTTCTGAAGGGGACATTGTGAAAGAAAAATAAATCTTGGGACCCCAAATCACTGAGCCAAAGGGGAGTCAAGCTAGGAAATGCTTCAGGCAAACCTGCCTCCCATTTTATTCCTAAATAAGGTAGCTACTAAGATAATAAAACTGCATGGTTCCCTCACTGTTTGCCCACAGGAAATTCCCTGTGGACAAAGGACAGACAGAACTCAAAGTCATCCTTCTGCTCACATGAGATAAATGCATATCTGATGGCTTCCTCTGCTCTATTGTTTCACTAAGCCAGACTAAGGCATAAGTGACCACTTTTCTACCCAACTCTCACATGTAAATTGTGTATTCAGTGAAAGGCTAATCAGAAACTTCAAAGCATATCTCTTATCACCTATGATTTGGAAGCCCCCTCCCTGCCTCTAGTTGTCCTGCCTTTCCCAACGAACCAATGTACATCCTATACATGTTGATTGTTGTCTCATATCTCCCTAAAATGTAGAAACCAAGCTGTGGGCTGGCGCATGATGCCGTGGCTCACACCTGTAATCCCAGCACTTTGGGAGGCCGAGGCCGGTGGATCACCTGAAGTTGGGAGTTGGAGAACAAACAGCCTGACCAACATGGGGAAACCCACCTCTACTAAAAATACAAAATTAGGCCGGGTGCTGTGGCTCACGCCTGTAATCCCAGCCTTCGGGAGGCCGAGGTGGGTGAATCACAGGGTCAAGAGTTCAAGACCAGCCTGGCCAATGGTGAAACCCCATCTCTACAAAAAATTAGCCAGATGTGGTGGCGCCCTGTAATCCTAGCTAGTTGGGAGGCTGAGGCAGAGAATTGCTTGAACCCAGGAGGCAGAGGTTGCAGTGAGCCCAGATTGTGTCACTGCACTCCAGCCTGGGCAAAGAAGCGAGACTCCCTCTCAAAACAACAAACAAGAAACAAAACGAAACAAAAAATACAAAATTAGCCTGGCGTGGTGGCGCATGTCTGTAATCCCAGCTACTCGGGAGGCTGAGGCAGGAGAAACGCCTGAAATGGGGAGGCGGAGGTTGTGGGGAGTGGAGATTGCGCCATTGCAACAAGAGCGAAACGCTGTCTCAAAACAAACAAACAAACAAACTGAGGGCACATGTCCTCAGAACCTCCTGAGGCTGTGTCATGGGTGTGTCCTTAACCTCAGCAAAATAAACATTCTAAATTGATTGAGACCTGTCTCAGATATTCTGCGTTCACAGTGTGGAGTGCATCTCCCATCTGGCTGTCATCCTTACCTCACCCTCCTTGATGCTTCTGGTCACAGCCAACTGATCATCCTCCTTCAGCAAACTCGTCTTCCTTTCCATGGGGAGGATGAGGAACTAAGGGCCAGAGCATTTGGGGGATGATCAGGGATTCCGTGGGTCCCCCAGAAATCACCCGACCATTCTTAATTAATGAGAAAACTGAGGTTTAAAGATTTTGATTTAGAAAAACAGCAGCAGGGCTGGGCGTGGTGGCTCACACCTGTAATCTCAGCATTTTGGGAGGCCAAGGCGGGTGGATCACTTGAGGTCAGGAGTTCGAGACCAGCCTGATCAACATGGCAAAACCCCGTCTCTGTTAAAAATACAAAAATTGGCCAGGCACCATGGCTCATGCCTGTAATCTCAGCACTTCGGGAGGCCGAGGTGGGTGGATCACAAGGGCAGGAGTTTGAGACCAGCCTGGCCATTATGGTGAAACCCGTCTCTATTAAAAATACAAAAATTAGCTGGGCATGGTGGTACCTGCCTGTAGTCCCAGCTACTTTGGAGGCTGAAGGAGAAGAATCGCTTGAACTTGGGAGGCGGAGGTTACAGTGACTGAGATCATCCCACTGCCCTCCAGCCTGGGCAATGGAGAGAGACTCTGTCTCAAAAAGAAAAAAAAATTTAGCCAGGTATGGTGGTGCACATCTATAATCCCAGCTATTTGGGAGGCTGAGGCAGGTGAATCACGAGGTCAAGAGATCGAGACCATCCTGGTCAACATGGTGAAACCCCGTCTCTACTAAAAATACAAAAATTAGCTGGACATGGTGGCGCGTGCCTGTAATCCCAGCTACTCGGGAGGCTGAGGCAGGAGAATTGCTTGAACCCAGGAGATAGAGGTTGCGGTGAGCTGAGATTGTGCCATTGCACTCCAGAGCGAAACAAGAGCGAAACTCCGTCTCAAAAAAAGAAAATAATAATAATAAATAAAAAACAGGAGCAACAACAAACCAAAAGACCCCTTTCATACACAGTGGAGCTGAAGAACAGCAGTTGTGTTATGATGTCGTGTAAAGCTCAAAAGCAATGCACTTCAGAACACTGGTTTTAAACGATGGGGGTGGGCTGGGCGCAGGGCCAGCAGGTTGCCTCTGAGAAGATCTCCTGATACCCAAACTCTGAATCCAGCCTATGCCAGCCCTCCTCCAGCCTGAGAGCCCAGTGCCTCCCTGGAGGCCTGGTGGGCTGACCTTTCCCACAGCCTACCCTTCCCTGGGGCCCTGTCCCACCTGGCCTCCAAGTCCCCCAGCTCTGTGCCCCTCATATCCAGCCCCAACCATTTAATTAACTTGTGGAATGTGAACATGACCTGTTTATGCACTGGAAACTACTCAAGTCTAACAACCTTCCCACAAAAACCATCCCCAGACAAGCAAAAACAAACAAAACAAAACAAAACAAAAACCAACCCCGTCTTTTTTTTTTTTTTTTTTTTTTTTGGGTAGATGAAATTTGCTCGTCACCCAGGCTGGAGTGCAATGGCACCATCTTGGCCCACTGTAACCCTCTCCTCCAGGATTCAGCGATTATCCTGCCTCGGCCTCCCGAGTAGTTGGGATTACAGGCGCACGCCACCATACCTGGCCAATCCTGTATTTTTAGTAGAGACGGTTCTCTATTTTAATAGAGACGGTTTCTCCATGCTGGTCAGGCTAGTCTTGAACTCCCAACCTCAGGTGATCTGCCCAACTCGGCCTTCCAAAGTGCTGGGATTACAGGCGTGAGCCACTTTGCCCAGTCTCCATCTTTTTTTTTTTTTTTTTTTTTTTTGAGACAGGGTCTCACTCTGTCACCCAGGCTGGAGTGGCGTGCGGCGGTATGCACACTGAACCTTCCACTTCAGCCTCCCAAGTAGCTGGGACTACAGGTACACATCACTACACCCAGCTACTTTTTGTAGTTTTTGTACAAAAATGGTAAAAATTTTTGGTGGGTTTCCCCATGTTGCCCAGGCTCAAACTCCTGAGATCAAGGGATCCTCCCGTCTTGGCCTCAAAAAGTGCTGGGATTATAGGCCTGAGCCATTGTACCCAGCCCTCCCTCATTTTTTTTTTTTTTTTCTTGAGACAGAGTTTTGCTCTGTTGCTCAGGTGGGAGTTAAGTGGCACAGTCTTACCTCCCGAAGGTGGCCATGAGCCAAGATTGTGCCACTGCACTTCTGAGCAATTCTCCTGTCTCTGCCTCCTGATTGGAACTATGGGCACCTGCCACCACTTCTGGCTAATTTTTATATTTTTAGTTGAGATGAGCTTTCACTGTGTTGGCCAGGCTGGTCTTCAACTCCTGACCTCAGGGTGATCTGCCTGCCTCGGCCTCTCAAAGTGCTGGGATTACATGTGTGAGCCACGGTGCCCAGCCCAGCCCTTTTAAAACCAGTGTTCTTCTACTATAAGGACACATGCACACGAATGTTCATTGCAGCACTGTTTACAATAGCAAAGACCTGGAACCAACCCAAATGCCCATCAATGATAGACTGGATTGGGAAAATGTGGCACATATACACCATGGAATATTATGCAGCAATCAAAAATGATGAGTTTGTGTCGTTTGTAGGGACATGGATGAATCTGGAGAACATCATTCTCAGCAAACTGACACAAGAACAGAAAATGAAACACCGCATATTCTCACTCATAGGCGGGTGATGAAAAATGAGAACACATGGACACAGGGAAGGGAGTACTACACACTGGGGTCTATTGGGGGGAATAGGGGAGGGACAGCGGGAGGGGGAGCTGGGGAGGGATAGCCTGGGGAGAAATGCCAAATGTGGGTGAAGGGGAGGAAGGCAGCAGAACACACTGCCATGTGTGTACCTATGCAACTATCTTGCATGTTCTGCACATGTACCCCAAAACCTAAAATGCAATAAAAAAAAACCACCAGTGTTCTGATGGCTGGGTACAGTGGCTCATGCCTGTAATCCTAGCACTTTGGGAGACCCAGGAAGGTGGATCACCTGAGGTAAGGAGTTCGAGACCAGCCTGGCCAACATGGTGAAACCACCCCCCTCTACTAAAATGTAAAAATTAGATGGGCATGGTTGTGGGCGCCTGTAATGCCAGTTACTCGAGAGGCTGAGACAGGAGAATCGCTTGAACCTGGGATGCGGAGGTTGCAGTGAGCCAAGATCTGGCCACTGCACTCCAACCTGGGCAACAAGAGGGAGATTCCATCTCAAAAAAAACCCAAAACAACAACAAAACAACAACAACAACAAATCAGCGTTGTGAAGTGCAGTGCTTTTGAGTTTTATATTTCATAACACGAGTGCTATTCTTTAGCTTCACTGTGTATGAAAGGGGGTTCTCGATTTGTTGTTGCTGCTGTTTCTTAAGTCAAAATCCCTCTTCTCTTCCCTGGATTGGGTCAAGGCCGGTGCCCTGGGAAGTACCTTGATGAACTCGTGGCTGTGCTGTTCCATGAGCTCCAGCTTCTCTGAGAGATGGCCTGGGGTGCAGGGACACAGACACTGAAGTCACAGGAGATATGGGTCAGAGGCCGAAGGAAGGGAAGGTGGTGGCCCAGGCTGGAGGACTAGGTGTAATAAGGTCCCAGAGAAACTACAGAATGGGTAAGAGGTGCCCTCATCCCGAGTCCGTGGGTAACTCCCTGCCCCCTCCCCCCCCCGCCCGCCCCGGTGACTTGTCCTGGTCCAAGGCAAAGCCAAGGGATTGGTCCTGAAAAAGATTCTAGAAATGGTGGAGGGGAGGCGGGGAGGAAGGAGAGGGTGAGGGGCATCAGGCAGCAGGAATGCTACCCAGGAGGGAATTTCCACAAAGCATTTTGTCCAAGAAGCCTTGGGTAAAGGCGTGCACGAAGATGCAGGATGTCAGCAGACCAAGTTTTTCCTGGTATTTCCCCCTCTGCACTTCAATGGTCAGCTCTCCCTGAGGCTCCCCGGTGTCCGACACCATGGCCAGCGTCTCGGAGAAGAACAGCAACTGTAGCTCCTCGTACTCTGGGGTGAGGGGCCCGCGGGAACAGATATAGCCCCTGCTTCTGGGCCCCAATCCTCTGACCCCACAACCACCAGGGTCCCCACTGTTCCCACCTGCCCCCTCATCCCACAGCCTTCCTCACTGGTGTGGACAGAGGAAGACTCCTCCCCCATGTCCCCATGTCCCTGGGGACCTCCCATGAAGAATGTCAACAAATAGGCCTCAGATATTTTCTGAGTCCTAGGAGAATCAAGGAAGAGAGAGAGTGTGTGTGTGTGTGTGTGTGTGTGTGTGTGTGTGTGAGAGAGAGAGAGAGAGAGAGAGAGAGAGAGAGAGAGACTAAAGAGACTGGACCTTCTCTCTTCCCTCCGCTCCAGACTTTCACCCCTCCCCGCACCCACATCGGCAACACTGTCTGAGCTCACCGAGGGAGCTGAGGAAGTTGATGGCTTCAGCATTGGCCTCTGGGAATGGCAGACCCTCCACGCCCGAGGGTTGGTGGTCCTTGGTTCTGGAGCCTACAGAAAGAGGAGAGGCTAAGATGGCAGACCCTGAGGAGAAGGACAGGGGTCAGGGAAGCAAGGCAGGGTACCTCAGTCCCGGCCCCAGCACCCCAGAACAGATTCCTCCAAGACTACCCCGAGGTGGATTGGAAGGGAGAAGCGGGTCCCGCCTCCAGCACCAGCAGTCCTCTTCCCACCTGTGGAGTGAACTTTGGAGGACATACTGTGGGCCTCTACCCGGTCTGTGTGCAGCTGCGTCCATGGCAACCAGAGCTGGCTAGTGCCTCTTAAAGGGCCATTGACCCACTTCACCACACTCAGACCTTGGAGGAAACTGACACTGCAGGTTTGGGGCTCTGCACAAGCCTGAGGTGTTGTCCAGCAGAGGGAGCATTTGATATTCCTTTTTTTCTCTTTTGAGACGGAATCTTGCTCTGTCACACAAGCTGAAGTGCAGTGGCGCCATCTCAGCTCACTGCAACTTCCGCCTCCCGGGTTCAAGCGATTCTTCTGCCTCAGTAGCTGGGACTACAGGCCTCCACCATGCCTCCACCATGCCTGGCTAATTTTTGTATTTTTAGCAGAGATGGGGTTTCACCATATTGGCCAGACTTGTCTCGAACTCCTGACCTGGCTCACACCTGTAATCCAGTACTTTGGGAGTCCCAGGCTGGTAGAACACTTGAGGCCAGGAGTTTGGGACCAGCCTGGTCAACATGGTGAAACTCTTCTCTACTAAAAATACAAAAATGACCAGGGAGTAGTGGCACATGCTTATAATCTGTCTTGAAAAAAAAAAAAAAAAAAGACCTTAGAAGATATGACCCAAAGTCAGACAGAGCCTCACATCCACACAATCTAATTAGATGCTAGGTGAATCTCTCTGCAAGTTGCAGTCCTAATACATGTGACAATAATGATAACAACAGTGAGTGACAATCATAGCAAACCCTTCGACCAGACTTACTCCTGGTGAGGTGATCTTTTTTTTTTTCTTTTTGAGACAGAGTCTTTCTCTGTCACCCAGCCTGGAGTGCAGTGGCGGTGCGATCTTGGCTCACTGCAACCTCTGCCTCCGGGGTTCAAGTGATTCTTCTGCCTCAGCTTCCTGAGTAGCTGGAACTATGGGAGAGTGCCACCAAGCCAAGCTAATTTTATTATTATTATTTTGGTGGGTTTTTTTTTTTTTTTGAGATGGAGTTTCACTTTTGTTGCCCAGGCTGGAATGCAATGGCGCTGTATTGGCTCACTGCAACCCCTGCCTCCCAGATTCAAGTGATTCTCCCACCTCAGCATCCTGAGTAGCTGGGATTACAGGCATGTGCTACCATGCCCAGCTAATTTTTTTTTTTAGTAGAGATGGGGTTTCTTTTTTTCTTTCTTTCTTTTTTTTTTTTTTTGAGATGGCATCTTGTTTTGTCACAAGGCTAGAGTATAGTGGTGTAATCTCGTCTCACTGCAACCTCTGCCTTCAAGTGATTCTCCTGCCTCAGCCTCCCAAATAGCCAGGACCACAGGCATGCGCCACCACGCCCAGCTAATTTTTGTATTTTTTAGTAGAGACAGGGTTTCTCCATGTTGGCCAGGATGATCTTGATCTCTTGACCTTGTGACCTGCCCACCTCAGCCTAACACAGTGCTGAGATTCAGGCATGAGCCACCGCTCCTGGCAAGAGACGGGGTTTCTTTATGTTGGTCATGTTGGTCTTGAACTCCGGACCTCAGGTGATCCATCCGCCTCAGCCTCCCAAAGTGTGGGATTACAGGCGTGAGCTACCTTGCTCAGTTTATTATTATTATTATTTGAAATGAAGACTCACTCTGTCATCAGACTGGAGTGCAGTGTCGTGATCTCGACTCACTGAAACCTCCACTTCTCGGGTTCAAGGGATCCTCCTGACTCAGCCTCCTGAGTAGCTGGGATTACAGGCATATACCACCACGCCCAGCTAATTTTTGTATTTCTTTTTCTTTTTAAAAAATGTTAAATTATATTTTGCTTAATTTCTCTCTTTATTTCTTGTGCTAACTGCCAGTAATAATTTTTGTTTTTTAGTAGAGATGGGATTTCACCATGGTGACCAGGATGGTCTCAATCTCTTGACCTTGAGATCCGCCCGCCTCGGCCTCCCAAAGTTCTGGGATTACAGGAGTGAGCCACTGCGCCCGGACCTATTTTATTTATTTGTTTATTATTTATTTGAAGACGAAGTCTTGCTCTGTTGCCAGGCTAGAATGCAGTGGCATGATCTCAGTTGCAACCTCTGCCTGCCAGATACAAGTGATTCTCTTGCCTCAGTCTCCCAAGTTGCTGGGACTACAGGTACCCGCCAACACACCTGGCTGATTTCTGCAGTTTTAGTAGAGACAGGGTTTTACCATGTTGGCCAGACTGGGCTCGAATTCCTTACCTCAGATGATCTGCCCACCTTGGCCTCCTAAAATGCTGGGGTTACAGGCGTGAGCCCTACATCCTGTTGAGGCACTGTTCTACAGGGCTTTACCTGTGTTACCGTGTTACCTCTTCTAACTTTTAGACCAGTCCTGAGAATAGGTACTTTTATTCCCTTCACTTTGTGGAGAACAAAACAGAGGTACGGAAAGGTTAAATGTCTTCCCAAGGTCACGTATACGAACGGTCGGCAGACCAGAATGCAACCCAAGGCAGTCTAGCTCCAGAATCAGAGAATTCAGAGAAAAAAGAAGCAGTACATACACGACATATTGAATCCTCACAAGTGGCCCGACAATGAGGAGTGATTGGACACACGGACTTGAAAACTGAGTGATGAGCCAGGTGTGGGGGCTCACGCCTGTAATCCCAGCTCTTAGGGAGGCCAAGGTGGGTGGATCACTTGAGGTTAAGAGTTCGAGACCAGCCTGGCCAACATGGTGAAACCCTGCCTCTACTAAAAATACAAAAATTAGCTGGATATGGTGGTACACGCCTGTAATCCCAGCTACTTGGGAGGCTGTGGGAAGAGAATCACTTGAACCCGGGACGTGGAGGTTGAGGTACTGAGTCGAGATTGCGCCATTGCACTCCGGCTGGGTGACAAAGCAAGACCGTCTAAAAAAAAAATTGAGTGGTGATATGACTCAAGCCCCAGACTTGATCCCCAAGCTTGGGACATTTAATCCTCAACCTCATCCTCATCTTGTTAGTATTGGAGTCCACATGATAGTGGCTGCAAAAAAAAAGGGCTTGGCCTGATAGTTGGGGTCATAAGAATAATCTTTGCGAGTGTCTGGTGCAGTGGCTCATGCCTGTAATCCAGCACTTTGGGAGGCCGAGGTGGTCAGATCACGAGGTCAGGAGTTCGAGACCAGCCTGACCAACATAGTGAAACCCTGTCTCTACTAAAAATGCAAAAACTAGCTGAGGGGCTTGCACCTGTAATCCCAGCTACTCAAGAGGCTGAGGCAGGAGAGTTGCTTGAATCTGCGAGGCAGAGGTTGCAGTGAGCTGAGATTATGCCACTGCACTCCAGCGGGTGACAGAGCGAGACTCCATCTCAAAAAAGAAAAGAAAAATCTTTGTGGAAAAACTTCCTCAGCCTCCTGAGGAGTTACCTCCCCCTTCCCACCCTTAGCACTCAGGTAGGTAATCTTCAAATGGCTACTCATTGGTTGATCACCATTCCACCTCAGAAGGACAGAATTTCCTGGGGAAATGCTTATGAGAATCAAACTAACAGTATTCTGTGTGTGTTTTATTATGTATAGTTGGCATTTCAGGTTCTTAAAATGTTTAAAATTGTCATCTTAGAGTGCTTAAAAGATACATATGCAGATTCAAGTTTAAATTGGGTCATTGAATAATTGATTTAGAATTTTAAAGTTTCTTATTGACATTGCAAATAGAGCCAGAACGTGAAAAAAAATTAAGTTTTACTGTATTTATATGTTTACTTTCATTAGTTTGCAGTAAAGGTATTTGGGAGGCTGGTTTTTCAACCGATTGCTTTACAAAAGGAAAGAAAATATATAAGATGAACAAGTACAGTATAAGCCGCCTAAAGTAGTTTTAATTTGGAAAAGAAGACCAACCAATAATTTTATGTATGTATTTCTTTATTTTGAGATGGAGTCTGACTCTGTTGCCCAGGCTGCAGTGCAGTGGTGAGATCTTGGTTCACTGCAACCTCTACCTCCTGGGTTTAAATGATTCTCTTGCCTCAGCCTTCAAGTAGCTGGGATTACAGGTGCCCGCCACTACGTCCCGCTAATTTTTTGTATTTTTAGTAGAGATGCGATTTTGTCATGTTGGCCAGGCTGCTCTGGAATGCCTGACCTCGTGATTCACCCTCCTTAGCCTCCCAAAATGCTAAGATTACAGGAGTGAGCCACTGCGTCCAGCCAAAAACCAACCAGTTATTAATAAAGCCCCCTTGGCTGGGTGCAGGCGCTTACACTTGTGATCCCAGCACTTTGGAAGGCTGAGATGGGTGGATTATTTGAGGCCAGGAGTTGAAGACCAGCCTGGGCAACATAGTGAGACCCTGTTTCTAAAAAATGTTAGCATTTACCGATTTATGATGGGAATTTTATGACTGGTAAGTTGAACTTAAAAGTTTTAAAAATAATTATGTTTTAAAATTTATATTTTCCTATGCAACATAGTATTGGAAGTTCTACCCAGAGCAATCGGGCAAAAGAAAGAGATAAAGCGTATTCAAATAAGAAGAGAGGAAGTCGGGCCGGGCGTGGTGGCTCAAGCCTGTAATCCCAGCACTTTGGGAGGCCGAGGCGGGTGGATCACGAGGTCAAGAGATCAAGACCATCCTGGTCAACATGGTGAAACCCTGTCTCTACTAAAAATACAAAAAATTAGCTGGGCATGGTGGCGCGTGCCTGTAATCCCAGCTACTCAGGAGGCTGAGGCAGGAGAATTGCCTGAATCGAGGAGGCAGAGGTTGCGGTGAGCCGAGATCACGCCATTGCACTCCAGCCTGGGTAACAAGAGCAAAACTCCATCTCAAAAAGAAGAGAGGAAGTCAAACTATCCCTTTTTGAAGATGACATGATTCTATATCTAGAAAACCCCATGTTCTCAGCCCAAAAGCTTCTTAAGCTGATTAGCAACTTTTAGCAAAGTCTGAGGATACAAAATCTATGTGCAAAAACTGCTAGCATTCCTACATGCCAACAACAGGCAAACAGAGAGCCAAATCATGAATGAACTCCCATTCACTATTGCCACAAAGAGAATAACTACCTAGGAATACAGCTAACACAGAAAGTGAAAGATCTATGAGGAGAACTACAAACCACTGCTCAGAGAACTCAAGATGACACAAACAAATGGAAAAGCATTCCATGCTCATGGATACGAAGAATCAATATCATAAAATGGTCAGACTCATCAAAGCAATTTATAGATTCAGTGCTATCTTCATTAAACTACAATTGGCATTCTTCACAGAAATAGAAAAAACTATTTAAAAATTAATATGGAATGAAAAAAGAGCCTAAATAGACAAGGCAGTCTTAAGCCAAAAGAATAAACCTAAAGGCATCACACTACCTGACAGCAAACTATACTACAGAGCTACAGTAACCAAACAGCATGGTATTGGTAAACGAACAGACACCTAACTCTTTTTTCTTTCAGACGAAGTCTCACTCTTGTCTCCCAGACTGGAGTGCAATGGTGCAATCTTGGCTCACTGCAACTTCTGCCTCCCAGGTTCAAGTGATTCTCCTGCCTCAGCCTCCCGAGTACCTGGGATTATAGGTGCCTGTCATCATGCCCACCTAGTTTTTGTATTTTTAGTAGAGACAGGGTTTCACCATATTGGTCAGGCTGGTCTCAAACTCCTGACCTTGTGATCTGCTCGCCTCAGCCTCCAAATGTTCTGGGATTACAGGTGTGAGCAACTGTGGCTGGATGACACATAACTTTCTAACAGGTCTGGAAGCTCTGAGTTTATCTTGAGACCTCAAGAGGAGAGGATCACTCAACTCACAGGTATTAGAGGATACCAGCTTTACAAATCTGAAATTCCTTGTGAAATAGAGTTTCATCGAAGCCAATCCGAAAGGCCTATGTAAAAATAACCATTTTTGTTGCACTTTATGCAAATAGACCACGTATAAGACTAAAGTTTATTCGTAATTAGTTTTTACCAAAAATGAGGCTTGAAGTGAAGAATTTTGCTCCAAAGCTTGTCATACATTTGTCATTAAGTCCTAGTTTCATTAATTGTTTTTAAGCTTTTTGCCCTGCTTATTCCTGTGAATCAAGTGGTGATCTTCTGCAACATAAAAAAAAAAAAGGGATGGGAAATGCAAAAATGTGAATCCATATGCTAGTTCTGGACAATTACCTTGCATATTCTGCCAGGTAATGAAAGTGAGAAACCTGGAGCTTTCTTCGTTTGGGAAAATAGAACCAGCTTTGCACAGTGGCGGTACCATAGCCAGTGAGGTTTATCCGAGGTGTGATTATTGCTAATTGAAAGCCTCCCAATACCTCACCATGGCGGATTGAAATATAGTCCGCATTGGCAATTTTTGACAGTCTCTACCGAGACTGAATTAAAAAAATAAAAAATAATAAAAATAATGAAAAATAAAATAAAACCAAGCAACTTCATAGACCCCCAAAGGGGAATTCAATATGTTGGCAAGTAAAATTTTAGGTGGAAATTATCTACCGCACCACACTTGTGGGAATTGCCATTCTCATTCCAATATTTGCAACAGGATTATACACGGTAGCACCTTCTAACTAGAAGATTGGGCAGAGTATTGCTGTCGTATTATGCTTAATTGTTATCCTTATAACTGGGATAATAATTACTGACAAAGAGGAAGCATAAAAGTTTTACTATCACCAAGTCTCCTAGGACTTTTTATTGGGTGCACTTTTAAATAAAATGCACTTTAAAATGAAACATGCTGCGTTTGGATTAACAGCCAGTAAAGTAAAAGGAAATCTACAGGTACTTAAAAATCCAATCAGGCCGGGCGCAGTGGCTCACACCTGTAAATCCCAGCACTTTGGGAGGCTGAGGCAGGCAGATCACAAGATCAAGAGATCAAGACCATCCCAGCTACTCCAGAGGTTGAGGCAGGAGAATCACTTGAACCCAGGAGGTGGAGGTTGCAGTGAGCCGACACCGTGCCACTGCACTCTAGCCTGATGACAGAGCAAGATCCTGTCTCCAAAAAGAAACAAAGAAAGAGAGAGAGAGAGAAAACTTATTTGGCTGGGCACAGTGGCTCACCCCTATAATCCTAACAATTTAGGAGGCTGAGGCAGGAAGATTGCTTGAGCCCAGGAGTTCAAGACCAGCCTGAGATACAATGTAACACTCCATCTCTACAAAAAAAGTCAAATAATTAGCTGGGCATGGTGGCACGTGCCTGTAGTCTCATTTACTCAGGTGGCTGAGTGGGAAGATTGCTTGAGCCTGGGAGGTTGAGGGTGCAGTGAGTTGTAATAGAGCCACTGCACTCCAGTCTGGGTGACAGAGTGAGACTCTGTCTCAAAAAAATGAAAACAAGAAAACTCATAGCTGCTTTGGAAAGCAGTTTGGAAGTTCCCCAAAAAGCTAAATGTAGTGTTACAGCTCTTTTAGAATTTGTCTAGCAGGCTTTTTGGTTTTTGCTGGAAAGCCCCCAAGTAACAAAACAAAACAAAACAAAACATTGAAAGCTAAATGTGGAGTTACTATGTCTTAGCGATTCCACTCATAGGTGGACACCCAAAAGAACTGAAAACAGGGGCTAGGGGAGGGGTAGGATTGGGAGAAATACCTAATGTAGATGACAGGTTGATGGGTGCAGCAAACCACCATGGCACGTGTATACCTATGGAACAAACCTGCACGTTCTGCACATATATCCCAGAACTTAAAGTATTAAAAAAATCCCCTCCCCAAAAAAGGAATTGAAGACATATGTCTACACAAAAACTTGTACAAGAATGGTCACAGCATTGTTCATAATAGACAAAAAATGGAAAAAATCTGACTAACAACTGTCAAATGGATAAACAAAATATAAAATATTCATCTATGGAATATTTTTGTGCCCAGATGCAGTGGCTCATGCCTGTAATCCCAGCATTTGGGAGGCTGAGGCAGGCAAATCTCTTGAGCCCAGAAGTTTGAGAACAGCCTGGGCAACATGATAAAACCACATCTCTACAAAAAGTACAAACCTTAGCTAGGTGTGGTGTCATGCACCTCTAAGGCCAGCTGCTTGGGAGGCTGAGGTGGGAGGTTTGTTTCAGCCTGAAGGTGGAGGTTGCAGTGAGCCAAGACACTGCACTCCAGCTTGGGTGACACAGTGAGAACCTGTCTCAAACAAAAAAAGGAGAATATTAACCAGCTATACAGTGAAGTACTGACACATATCCAACATGGATGAACCTTGAAAACATGCTGAGCAAAAGAAGCCAGTCGCGGAAGGCCACATAATGTATGATTTCATTTATATGATATGTCCTAAATATGCTAATCTATAGAGACAGAAAGTAGATTGGTGGATGCATAGCATTGGGAGAGGGTGGGGCCGTGAAGGCAGGGAGTGATATTAAATGGACATGCGGTTTCTTTTTGGGATGATGACATGTTCTAAAATTATATTGTGGTGATGGTCACAAAACTGTATATACTAAAAACCACTGAATTGTACTTTTTTGAGAATGAGTCTCTCTGTTGTCCAGGCTGGAGTGCAGTGGCACGATCTTGGGTCACTGCAACTTCTGCCTCCCAGGTTCAAGCGATTCTCCTGCCTCAGCCTCCTGAGTAGTTGGGATCACAGGTGCGTGCCACCACACCTGGCTAATTTTGTATTTCTTTTTTTTTTTTTTTTTGAGACGGAGTTTCACTCTTGTTACCCAGACTGGAGTGCAATGGCACGATCTTGGCTCACTGCAACCTCCGCCTTCTGGGATCAAGCAATTCTCCTGCCTCAGCCTCTCGAGTTGCTGGGACTACAGGCGCACACCATCATGTCCGGCTAATTTTTCTTGAGTGTGTTTTTTTAGTAGAGACGGGGTTTCATCATGTTGGCCAAGATGGTCTTGATCTCTTGACTTTGTGATCTGCCCGCCTCAGCTTCCCAGTGCTGGGATTACAGGTGTGAGCCACTGCGCCTGTCCTGTTGTGTGAATTTTATCTAAATAAAGCTGTCTATAAAATATACAGAGGAACGATCAGAGCTCACTGTAGCCTCGACTTCCCGGGCTGAAGCAATCCTCCCCACTCAGTCTCCCAAGTATCTGGGAATACAGGCTTGCACCACCACGCCAGGCCCTCACTACTCTTTGGTCAGGCCCACCCAGCTGCATAAGGCAACTGTCTGCCTGTCCTCACAGTCTCCCCACCTCCTGGGAGCTCATGTTCTTAACTCTCTTTGCACACCCCTCTGCCACCAATTCCCTCCTCTTGGTGCTGGCTATCTTCTGCCAGTGGCTAGGGGTGAAACAGTTTGGCAAAGTAGATTGCAGAAGGACTAACGTCCAGTTTGTGATCTATTTTTTAACTCTTGGGAAGAAATCTATTTAGAAGTGGTGTCGGCCTGGCATAGTGGCTCATGCCTATAATCACAACATTTTGGGAGGCTGAGGCAGGTGGATCACTTGAGCCCAGGAGTTGGAGACCAGCCTGGACACATAGCCAGACCCTGTTTCTACAGAAAAATTTTAAAAATTATCTGGGTCAGGCGTGGTGGCTCATACCTGTAATCCCAGCACTTTGGGAGGCCAAGGTGGGTGGATCACTTGAGGTCAGGGGTTCGAGACCAGCCTGGCCAATATGGTAAAACGCTGTCTCTACTAAAAATACAAAAATTAGCCAGACGTGGTGGCGGGTGCCTGTAATCCCAGGTACTCGGGAGGCTGAGACACAAGAATTGCTTGAACCCAGGAGATGGAGGTTGCAGTGAGCCGAGATCACACCACTGCATTTCAGCCTGGGTGACAGAGTGAGACTCAGTCTCGAAAAATAAATAAATACATACATAAATAAAAATTTAAAAATTATCTAGGCATGGTGGCATGTGCTTATATAGTCCCAGCTACTCAGTGGCTGGAGTGGAAGGATCTCTTGAGCCCAGAAGTTCAAGGCTACAGTGAGCAGTGATGGCGCCTCTGCACTCAAGCCTGGACGACAGAGGGAGACTGTCTCTAAAAGTCAAAAAGCACTGTCATGCACCTTAGGCCAATGTAGGAAGACTCTGGAGCAGGAGGATATACCTGCTGTGTGGCACGGGGTAGGTTGGCCTGGCTGAGCCTGTGAGGTACCTGTGCCTGTGACTAGCCACTTGGGTGAGTTTCTGCTGAGCAACTCCTAACCTGGAGGGGGCTGGCTCTGTGCCAAGCTCTGTGGGTATTAACTCATCAATCCTCTCAACAAACTTCGAAGGTCAGTAATATTATGGCCCTATTTGACAGATGAGAAATAGAGGCACAGAAAGGTTAACTAACTTGTTCAAGGTCACTGATGGCAAGTGTGGACTTCAAACTGGATGGGCTGACTCCAGAGTCCATGTTCTTTATCTGTTTGTTCTACTGCTCCTGGCAGACTAACCCTAAGTTTATCAGTAACACTAACAGGAAGGAGAGGCAGCTGTTAACACCTCTGTACAAAAGAACAAGATCATGTTTTTTGCAGGGACATGGATGGAGCTGGAGGCTCATTATCCTCAGCAAACTAACTCAGGAACAGAAAACCAAATCCTGCAAGTTCTTATTTATAAATGGGAGCTAAATGATGAAAACACATGGATACATAGAGGGGAACACACACTGGGGCCTATTGGAGGGGGGAACCTCTCTACAACAGGCTCAGTGATCCTGAGTCACCATCCAGTGTTACACACGGCCAATTGAGCAGAGCTTGTGCTTGTGATCAGTCCAGTTTCAAGTGCCCTGTTTCTCCCACCAGCATTTGGCCCAAGCCTAGTGTTTATGGACCATTGGTGTTAGTTCTCACCTCTTTCAAAGGCTCCACCTCTGGGCAGGGCTTTGGGGAAGTAAGACCACCCCCACCATGCACACACGCACACACAGGGTTTTCGCATTTGTTTCTTCAGTTTCTTCCCTGGACCACCTAAGGCTGCCCAGTTATCCCCACTCTCTTTCTCCTTTTCTACCCTCAAAGAGAGCTAGTCTGGGATCCAGGGAAAAACAAATTTACGAATGAACTGCTTGCTGGTTATTTTTAAAACTACATGTTATTCAAACACCTTTGAGGCCAGGCGTCCATCTCCATTTCCTCTCTATAATTAATCATAGCACCAGAAACTTGATACAGCATTTTTTCTTTTTCTTTTTCTTTTTTTTTGAGACGGAAGCTCGCTCTGTCTCCCAGGCTGGAGTGCAGTGATGCGATCTCGGCTCACTGCAACCTCCGACTCCCCGGTTCAAGCAATTTTCCTGCCTCAGCCTCCCAAGTAGCTGGGATTACAGGCACGTGCCGCCACACCCAGCTAATTTTTGTATTTTTAGTAGATACAGGGTTTCACCTTGTTGGCCAGGATGGTCTTGATCTCTTGACCTGCCTTGGCCTCCCAAAACGC